TTCAGTCAAATGATGCCAGCCTCAGTCAGTGCCAGGAAATGCTGCTCCAGGTAGTGGGAGGATGTGGTCCCAGAGTTGTGATATTGTGTCCCCTAATATATTGTGCACCCTAATAAACTTATCTGGGGTCAGAGAACAGAACAGTCACTAGATAGACATAGAGGCCAGAAAAATGGTGGCACACACTCCTTTAATCCCAGGAAGTGATGGCAGGAAGCAGAAAGATATAAAGGTGTGAGGACCAGGAACTTTAGTCTTTTTAAGTATTTAGCTTTCAGCAGCAGTTCAGCTGAGCTCCATTTGAATGAGGACTCAGAGGCTTCCAATCTGAGGAAACAGGATGGGCTGAAGTGGTGCATGCTGGTAGGATTTGCTGAAGGAGGCAAAGGCAGGAGGATCTTGAGTTTGTGGCCAGCCTAGGAGGCTTGCAGAGGAGAAGCTGTGGCCGGAGTTGAGCTACAAATAGTGGCGATGGGACCATGAGAAGTTGGTGAGGTGAGGTTAACTGTGGCTTGTTCTGTTTCTTTGATCTTTTAGCATCCACCTTAATACCTGGCTCCGGGTTTGTTTTTATTAATAAGACCTTTTTAGATTCATGCTACATCTGGCGCCCAACGTGGGGCAAGAATTCACAAAAAAGCTACTTGCCTGTGGCCTTATGGGCCCCAGCTTAGATCCGAGCTACATGTTGCCGGTTGTGGTGGTGCATGCTGGTAGGATTTGCTGAAGGAGGCAAAGGCAGGAGGATCTTGAGTTTGTGGCCAGCCTAGGAGGCTTGCAGAGGAGAAGCTGTGGCCGGAGTTGAGCTACAAATAGTGGCGATGGGACCATGGAGGTGGTGGCTGCTGCTCCAAGTTGCCAGCTGCTTCTCATCTTGATGTCAGCAGCAATGCTGTTACCAGGGATGAAAGGTTTACCGCTGCTTGTTCAGAGAAGAATTGCCAGGACCATCATGTTACAAGAAAGCATCAGCAAAGGTCAGTTTGAAGGAGTTTGGCAAGACAAATGGTGGGGAGAAGTTGCTGTGAAGATACTCTCTTCTAGGGAAGAACATTCGTGGTTCTGAGAGACAGACATTTACCAGACTGTGATTGCTCCAAACCACAGAGGACACACACACACACACACACACACACACACACACACACACACACACACACACACACAAAAGACAAAAGGAAAAAGGAAAAAAAAATTTCTGCAGGGAACCATGACCATGTCTAACAGCAACTTTGAAATCTTCAAAAGGATGATGGGATCCCACAATGATGATTCCACATGGACTATAATAAAGCCATTAAGCTGATTAACACCACTGAAAGATCGGGTTTGGACTACAAACTGCTCAGGACAATTTTGAGATGGCTAGCTGAGATGATCCAGATTCATAGACTGTTCCAACAAGGACTTGAGACAAGCCCTGCACTTTCCCATTATGCAGAGACTGGACAAATGATACAGCTAACTCTCCCAAGACTTGACAATTAACCCAAAAATTTTCTTTTCAGGATTTCCTAAAGATGCCTTTACCCCCAGAAAGCAGGAAGTAATTTTAAGAAAATGACACCCACATTCCCAAGAGGTGGGTTGGGTAGTTTTTGGTCATTTGAGTTATGGATATTGTCATTGTTTATGATGGTTGGTTACAAGTTGTTAATTGTTAATGGTTAAAAAAAAAAGAGCTAAACAAAAGAGATTAGATACAGGATTCTTGTTTAAAAAAAAGAAAAAGAAAAAAGAGGATATAGGTAATAGGTAGATTATTGAATCTACTCTGAAAAAAAGATAGAAATAATAGAATAAAAAAGTAGATTAGTGAATCTACTCTGAAAAGAAAAAAAGGAAGATAAAGAATTATTAAGATAAAAGGTAGATTTTTAAAAACAGAGAAGATAGAAAAACGATAAGATAAAAGGCAGACTTTTGAATCTACTCAGAAAAGAAAAAAGAGAGAATATTGATATGATAAGATAAATGGTAGATTATCGAATCTACTTTTAAAAGGGACTTACTTGTTTTAATTATTTTACATTGGATTGGATTTTTCTATTTTGTATTTAAATTTTGTATTAGACTCACCAAAATAGGATAAATAATGAAATTTTTGTTTGAATTTCTTAATAAGGAAAATTGTTACTAAAACTATCTAATCTTCAAGTCCCTCACAGACCCAAGAAGGAAATAATATTACCTAGTAAAACAGGAATTATAAACAAGCAACTTACAAAAAAATGTAAGTTGACAGAAACAGCCAGCTGCCTGGACAGTCACCTGAGGTTTCTCCGCAGTGCTGGGGCATCATCTTCAGCCTATAGGCTTAGCGTATCTGACAGACTCATTTGTGAAGTAGGATGTACACAAGGCCTACAGCTTGACCTCACATTGGGTGCGAGTAGTCCATGTACTAGATAAACCTGAATTCCACCTGTGTCCTGTCATGATTCAGGACTTTAAATTCTGGAAATTGCTGGTGTTTTTCAAATTCAGCTGCCTATTCTTCTCGGCTTGTGGATGGCTTCATCTCAGCATCCCATTCTTCTCCACATTCCATTCTTCTCGGCTTGTGGGTGGTTTCATCTCCTTTATTAAATACCAGTCTTCCATTGAGAGGTTAGACTCCATCAGCCTCATTACTCTTTCAAGAATAACTGTTTCAGCTGCTGTTCCACTGCACATCAGAAGCCATTGGCCCACTGCCTGTTCAGCTGCCTTCAAAGAAAGGGGCACTGTACCTTTTCCAGATTGCAAAGCCACTTCAGTGATGGTGCCACACTGCCCTGGCCTCGGAGGACACCTGTTGCCAAAGCTGCAACCACACTTGTCTTGGCAAGGATCGGCAGTCCTTTGTTTTGTGTCCTGTCTGTCCATTTTGGATAGCATACTGTCAGCAGTCAATGCGAGGGCACTTTGTTGCCCAGTGGCTAACTTTTGCCACAATGAAAGCTAATTCCATATGCAGTTTCTTCAATGCCCATATCTTCTCTGAAGTAGATTGGTGCTGCCAGGAGCCAACATGTCTCATAGTAATAAAAAAGAAAAATATCTAAGTTATTAAAACATTTAAATGACATATTCTGTAGATCTCTGAAGGATTTGAAGATTACTTGTTTATCTAAAATGTATCTCTGCTTGACCTTGAAAACGTACCTAATATGATTACAAGTTTAATTAGAATGTCTAACTACTAACTTTCATTTCTTTACATCCTAATAATTGGTAATAATAACATCCAAGGATTAGCAAATTGCATTACTTTGTTAAATGAACTGTATAGGTACAATATCCTGAACAAGATTAGAAATATACGTACAGCATTTTCTAACAATATCAATCTCAATATATATAATTTGTGTACAGAGTGAAGTCACAGTACTGACAGCCACCACCTCTGGTGGCACATCACCATTATCAAGCACAGACTGCAAGTCAAGCTCCATCCTGACTATGTACCACAGGCTCCACTGACACGATCCCATCGGATGCCAGGTGGAATCCCTGAACCAGATGAAGGGACAAGGGTGCCCTTCCCAGGGTGAGGAGCCCCCTCTTGCCCTTGCTCAGCACCCTCTGAGCTCACGCTGGGCACCCCCACCTCCTGTGAACTCAAGTCCTAAGTCAAACTGCAGCCCTGCTCTATAGAGGACAGTTGGGGTACTGGATTAATGGAGGTAAGAAACGGGAGCACAGACCAGCAAGATTGTCGGCAAGACGCAGCAGCCCCCCGTGTGCTGCTGATGCCCTGGCTGTCTGTTCAGGTCACAGGGGGAGAGGTGTGAGAAGCCTGGGTGGGCCAGACAGTCCAATCTAGTTGAGAACATGTCTCCTACCTGCAGAAAGCAGATCTGGGGGACCCATGTGCACAGAGGAAGAATTCCGAATCTGTCCTAGCCATGGCCATGCATGCAGCTAGCCTGGCTCACTCTAGGCCTCAACTCTTCTCTCTGGACTAGTATACACTTCCACCTGCGCAGTTGCTGCGAGGAAGTGGGCTGTACCAACCCATCCCTGAAGTCTCCTCTTCCCTCTCCTCGCACATGCGCACACGCACTGCACAGTCCACACAGTCCCCCTGTGTCTGGAGGTACCCACTTTCCTCTGTCTGAAGGCCTGACCTCGCATCAGAGTTCTCCAGGGAAGAACCACGATGGAAGAGCTTCTCACGGCTGGGTGTGGCTCTTCCTACCATCAGTTCCTTCTAGAAGCTAGTCAGCCAGGACAGCAGGGGAGTGGGAAGCAGCTGGGGAGAAGGGTGGGCTGTAGGGCAGCAGAGAACCTAGGCAGGCAGGCAGGCAGGGATCTGTCCCTCCTGGCTCTCTCTAAGGTCCCTCTGGGTGTCCCTTTGCACATTCTTTAGAGAATAAAAGCTCTCCAGGCTTGGCCCTGGCTGTGGCCACAGTATTTAATATTAATATTTATATATTAATTAATATTTATATATAGAAAGAAAGCTGACTGGGGTTCTCGCCCATCAAACAGCAGCTGGGGTGACTGGTCGTATGAGCCATGTGCTAAGGGAGGTGGGCCCAGCAGCTGGCCTCCAGGGAAGCCGTTACACCAGGAAAGGAGGACCCACGGTTTTGAGCTTTGGAAGTTAAGGAGAGCCCAGAGGGTCAGGACACTGGGCAGTGGAGCCTTACCTGTCATGGCCAGCCAAGTGGGTGGCATAGGGCAGCTGGGACAGGCCCCCCATTGAAAGTGAGCAGGGAAAATCTGGCAGTGTTTGTCAAATGCTGGTGCATGGTTGGTTCGGCCCATAGTGTGGCTGATGCAACCGGAATCGGGTCTTGGAGGATAGAGAACAGAATGACATTCTTGCCTTAGCCCTCTCAGATAGGAAAAAAAGTAAGAAAGTAATTCTAACTCTTTCTCTAAGGGGGGGGGCAACCAAGTGAAGAGAGGAGAAGAGAGAAAGGGAAGTCAGGAGAGAGAGAGAGAGAGAGAGAGAGAGAGAGAGAGAGAGAGAGAGAGAGAGAGAGAGAGAGAGAGATGGTCCAAGGGTTAGTTCTGGAAAAGAGGAACTGGGTCCTTCCTGGGGCTGCCGTTGCTAGAGAGAGTACCATTTCTGGTGCACACCGGAAATTTCCTCTCTGGAAGTGTTTGCCCTGTAACAGCAGCTGGCCTGGGCAGGGCTGGATCCAGCTTCGCTGGTCACGAGGCCGGGGCTTTCCCCTGCGGCCATTCCGGATGGTGTCACTAACATCAGATGGTAAGTCGGCAGGCCTCTGGTCTTCCTCCTCCAGGCTGGAAGTCTGGGCTTGGACCAGGAAGAGTCAGGAATATTGTAGTGAGGCTGGTTCCTGTGTCACCTCCCCGGTGACAGATGAATGGACAGACACCTGGAATTCCCCAGGGACCTGTCATTAGCTTTTATATCGCTTGAGATTTTTATCAGCGGTTTGAAAGGGGAGGCAGGGGCTTCCTCCCTGTGTTTGCTGATGACCCGCAGCTGACAGGGACAGACCCAGTAGCACAATGGAGTCTCCAAGCCAGGCCAGTGTGCCTGCAACAATGGGCCAAGGCGACAGGAGGCTGCAACAGCGGCAGAGGTGGGGAGCCCAGCTCCTGGGTGACGAGGAATCACCAGGCTCTGAGTGCTGGGACTAGGGCGGAGAAGGCTGACGGACAAGAGAGCCCTGGTGGCTGTGAGTGCTGCAAACAGCAGGAAGTACCCCAAATGTCCGCCAGTGGGGGGCAGGTTACATATTTTGGAAGTCTCCACAGTAGAAGGCTATGGGACCCATGTAAGGAATGAGGCTGACGGGGACATGTGTGGCCCTGCATCTGACACAAGGATCTGTTTCTCTTAAACACTAACAGTTCTGTCCATACCCAGACAACGGGGGGGGGGGGGGGGGGGGGGGGGGGGGGGGGGGGGGGGGCGGGGAGGTGGCAGATTAGGGCCAAGGTGCTGCTCAGGTCTTGTTTTACTGATACATCTTTTGATATGTATGTATTCTCTCTCTCCCCTCCTCTCTGTATGGACAGAGCATCCTGCATAACAGTCCTAGTTAAAAAAAGTATCATCACTCGGTTGAAAACAACAAACCCCGTGTTATAAAGTTATACTAACAGAATCATAAACCTCTGGCTTAAGGAGGTGTGCATCTTTCTTGTCATATGTTAAAATTGGCTAGGCTATGCCCAGACACGGGGAAGTCATTTTGGAAAGGAACCCTAGTAGCTGGACCCAATCTCAGGGGACAGTTTGGCTAGAATAGGGGCTGTGCTGGGGAGAAAGCTAGGCAAGCACAGAGCTCACAGACAGCCTCTGGAGGCCGTGTGAGTTGGACAGCCACTGGAGGGCTGGCATGGGGAAGCAGCAGCGGCCTGGTTAGTTTAAGTCCTCCAAAGGGCAGGACTTGGGTCGATGGTTTGGAAGGCACAGAGGTGAGTCCTGACCTAGGATGGCCTTGCTAAGGAGAATGGCTCGTTAGTACTCAAGCAGCCACTGAAGGTTGTCTAGGATGCTGCAGAGGGCATTAACAGAAGCACCGGGAGCCATGTTTTGGGCTCACTCCAGCCCAGGTGAAGTTGAATCTCCGTATTTGATCGGGAAGTCTGCTTTCTGTATCTAATTTTACCTCAAAGGCAAATGCTCCAATGAATTCTACCCCTTGCTTCACAGGATACTGTCACTGTCACCTACAGTGACACTGTTTTTCATTTCATTTCATTTATTTGTTTATTACAGTATATGTGTGGCATACGTACATGTTCATGTAGGTCTGTGCACATGTGTGTTCACATGTGTGCATTCACATGTGTGTGTTCACATGTGTGTACATGCATGTGAAAGCCAGAGGGTGATGACAGGCATCTTTCCCACCTTAGTTTTTGAGTTGGAATTTCTTCCTGACCCCTCAGCTCACTGAATCCGCTGGGCTCGCTGGCCAGTGAACTCCAAGGACCCTCTTGTCTCTGCCTCCCCACAGGTGGGGATTATAGATGCACACTGCCACATCTGACTCTTTACCTGGGTGCTGGGGATCTGAACTCAGGTCCTATGCTCATGTGACAAGACCTTTATAGACCGAGCCATCTCCCTGTCCATTTCCTTTACTTTTTCCCACTTTCATATTTCCCTCCCCTCCTAGAACCAGGCCTAGACTCTCATCTATGTGTTCGAAGTGTCTCTTAAAATATACATCTCCTCTGCACATGGGTGGTCATGTGTTCTGTATGTTTTATATTTTACATAGCATAAGCTCTGCTCTGCTGCAGCTCTCTGTCCCCTATTGTCTTCATTCAACATTGCTAATTAGGGTCTACTCTGTGGTGGCTCACACCCATGGTATAATCCCAGCACTTGGGAGGCGGAGGCAGGGGTATTGCTGCAAATCTGAAGCCAGCTTAAATTTACATGGTAAATTCCAGGGAAGCTCAAGCCACAAAATGAGACCCTGTGTACACCCTCCGCAGACTTCCTCTCTTGTATAATGTCTATTCACATCTGTGCCACGCCCCACTGAATTCCCTATTTTATAGATTGGCACGAGTGTCATAACCATTTTAAACTTTAATCCGGAGCGAGCTCACATTGCAGCCATCTTCTCCCTGCCTGAGGGTCTTTCACTCTAGCAGTGGGCCGGGGAGCAGGCGTGTGTGAGAGCCCAGATTGCTTTGAATTCTGCCACTTGGTGCTTTTCTGGTTCCCTCATTCACTGCTGGTGAGGATGTGAGCTGGTGCAGCCCACCGAGTCCTCAAAGAACTAAAGATAGAATAAGGGCACGGCGCAGCCACCCTGCTCCTGAGCACCCGGCAGCGGTACCCTCACAACGCTGATGATTGTGGCACCATTCACAGAAGCCAAGGCACGGAGCCAGCCTAGGTGTTCACCAGCCGATGAACGAATAGATGAAGGAAATGTGGTTTATATGCAACGGAGTTTTATTCGGCCTCAACGAACAACAAAACGATGTCACACATGGTATGAAAGTAGAATGGGATAATTGGGATGGTGGCCTCCCTGTTCCCTATAGCCTTTCCTTTCCCCATGGACTTCTCCACAAGAGAGAGGAATAGAGGTGGGGGGTAAAGAAAGGTGAGTGTCAGGTCTTTATTTTTAGACTTTGTTTAATATATGTGACATATAGATACATACATGCATAGCATAAAAGCAGAGAACTTTCTGGAGGCAGAAGGAGGAACAGTAAGAGTAATGGTGGGGGGAGGGTAGGAGCTACATACAGTGATCCCATGCATAAAAGTGTTATAATGAAATAATATATTATCTTACATATCTAAAAGTGTTATAATGAAATAATATGTTATCTTACATATCTAAAAAATCCATTAAAACAGAAGCTCTTGGTCTTTCTGCATAGTTACCTAGGCACCTCTATGGAGGACAGAGACCTGAGGAGCTGCAGCAGGGTGGCCCCCCTGCATGTCACTTCTCAGCAGAGCTGGCCATCATGACAGTGTGCATGGGATCTCGTGGTTGAATGGTTGAACTCTACCTGGAGGGTGAGCTGCTTCCTGTCGACAGAACTGAGAGCAGTTCTTTGTTCAGAAGATGCCATCAGTCTGCAAGAGTTTCCTTTTCCTTTTTTCCTTCGTTGGGTGGTAGGGGCGGGGGTAGGTGGGGGAAGATGGGGGGGCTACAGCAGGGGAGTTTGAGCTATGCATCCCAGACAAGCCTTGAACTCATGATCCTCCTGCCTCTGCCTTCCAAGTGCCAAGATTACAGGTGTGACTCCATGCTAGACCTGTGTTGGGATTTTCTTTTGTTTATTAATTTGTGTGTGTGTGTATGTGTGAGTGTGTGTACATGCACGCGTGCGCATAGGCCAGAGGTTGACATCCGGAGTCTTCCTTGATCATTCTCCATCTAACTTACTGCAGTAGGTCTCTTGCTGAACTCGGAGCTCACTGATAAGGCTAGTCTAGCTTGCTCCGGGGAAACTCCCGTCTCTACTAACCAAGTTCTGGAATTGCAGGGGGAATACCATGCCTACCTGGTACTTATGTGGGTTCTGGGACCCAAACTCCAGTCCTCATCTTGTGTGGCAAGCGTCTTTTCCACGGAGCATCTCCTCAGCCCCCTCACAGGATTTTTTTTTTTTTAAACAATAGAAGCTTCTTTTTTTTTTTAAAAAAAAAAAATCTCAATAGAAGCTTTGAACTCAGGCTCCAAGGTTTTGTACTGCTTTGACTGAGAGGTAGGAAGTCTCTAATTGCTCCCCTTGAGTCTGGGCTGGCCCCCGTTACTTCCTGTGCTCAAGAGAACGCAGTACAAACGGAGCCCTGTGCGTCTGAACACTCAGACAGGCTCTGCATCTTCAACCCTACTTTGCTAGCTCTCTCTCTCTGAGGGGAGCCTCCTGCCGTGGAAGGCAGCGAGCTGCTTGGAGACTACCATGACAGAGAGGACACAGAGAGCTGCTGCAGGCAGCATCCAGCCCCACGGCCAGGCACAGGATGAGGCTCTCTCAGCTAGCCAGCCCTAGCTGATCTCTCAATTCGTAAGAGACCTGAAATGTCAATTGTCCAGTCAAGCCTTCCCTGGACTGTTCCATAAAATCATGAGACAACAAAATTGCTGGTTTCGCCTCGCCAAGTTGAGGGGGTCATCCGTTATGTAGCAACAGTAGCTACGGCAATCTCTTTGAACACAGCGAGCAGCATCTTGCTCCACTCTTTGCTGGTAACTTTAACAGGACCTCTGCAGCTCAACACCCACTGTTTCTGATGTTTTCAATACAGTGTTACCTGAGTTGGCTGTTGCGAGTCGAGTATACATTCGAAGAAATAACTTGATGCCTTGGATGTTGTCCACTTCTGTCAGAGAAGAGCTACATTTGTGTCTGTCAGGCTTCCTAAGTACCCACGGAACACGATCTCCCGCTTCCGTTTTAGGGGTTAATGGAAAGTCTTTCTGGCTCACCTTTAGCTTGTAGGGTGCAGCCTTTTTTGGAATCCTTGCTTAGAGAGAGGTGCTGCACTAAGTTCCCCTTTGGTAAGCTGGTGTTCTGCCAGAGAGCCGTTCTGCTCTGTGGGCAATGGGCTGACTGACCCCTCCTAATGTGAGAACATATTGGTGCCAGGCGGAGGCACCATTCTTAGTATCTATGTCTTGGTCATTGCCCACAAATTTTTTACTGTCTTGTTAGATTCCTGGTGAAAGTTCTGGTTAAAAGTATGCATATAATAATTAATCTTATCTATTATTTATTTTTATTTTAGTGTGTGTGTTGCACGTATATGAGTGTGCAGGTGGACTCACTGATGCATGCACAGGCCAGAGCATGACATCAGGTGTCTTTCTCAGTCATTTTACATCTTGAGACAGGGTTACTCACAGAACCACAAGCTCACTGTGTTTGGTAGGCTGGCCAGCCAGCGCGCTTTTGAGATTTGCCTGTCTCTGCTTCCTGCTGCTGGGGTTATAGGCGTGTGCAGCCATGCCCAGCTTTTTATCTGGGTGCTGAGTATTTGAACTCAGGTATATCATACTTGCAAAGCAAGTGTCTTACCCCTGGGCCTTCTCTCCAGCCCCACACCAATCTCCATAAGCAGAAACTGGTCTCGTTGAATTTCCCACTGCAGACTTGAGGCTATCCCCTAAGAGTTTCAGTGTGTTACTGACTTTGCCTCAGCCCTGAGTGCTCCAGATGGTTTTGTTTTTGGGTTTTAGGTTCTTTGTATCACCTGTGTCTTTTTTTCTTTCTTTTTTTGTTTGTTTTTTTTTTTTTTTTCACGACAGTCTCTGTGTAGTTTTGGTGCCTGTCCTGGATCTCACTCTATAGACCAGGCTGGCCTCAAACTCACAGAGATCCACCCGGCTCTGCCTCCCGAGTGCTGAGATCAAAGGCGTGCGCCACCACTGCCCTGTGGCATCGCCTGTGTCTTTATCACGGAATGCCTTTCACCACTGACAAGTGTGATGGTTCAGATTCCTTGTCAACTTGACTGGATTTGGACTCATCCGGGAGACACACTTCTGGGTGTGTCTATGAGAGAGGTTTCACTGAGAAGGGAAGACTCATGTGGGTGGGATCATCCCATGAGCTGGTGTTTCAGACTAAATAAAAAGAAGAGCACAAGGGATCCAGCTGAGCACCAGCGTTCATCACTCTCTGCTTCCTGACTGCAGACACAGTGTGACCAGCCCTTCCCGCCACACCCCGGCTGCCATGTCTTCCCCACCATGATGGACTGTCTCCTCAGACCATGAACCCAAGTGAGCTCTTCCTCTCTTAAGTATTTTCTCGTCATGCATTGGCCTCAGCAACAAGAAGAACAACCAGCAGAAGGAGACTGTCCTTCATGACCTTTACCCTATCTCGATCTAATTCTTTTGGTACACATTAAACTATACAACCAAGATTGCTGGCACAGTGCGTGCCGTAAAGTAGAGAGGTTCTGATTTAGGTGAGGGGAGAATAGACGAGTCTAATTGTCAGAGCATCTTCATGCGTATGTGCTCTTGAGTGTACAATTGCATTTGTGTGTGCAGGTGTATGGACAGGTGCATGTGTGTACAAGAGTGTGTGTACATATGCATATATGTGTACACAGGTGCATGTGTACACAGGCGCACGTGTACAGGTGCATGTATGTGTATGTGTGTGTGTGTGTACAGATGCATATGTATATGCATGTGTGCTTGTGTGTGGAAACATTGAAGACAATCTTGGGTTATTTTTTAGGCATCATCCACCTTGGGCTTTCTTTCTTTTCTACATATGTATGATGTGTGTGGGGTGTTCACGTGTGCACATAGGTATGTGTGCACAATGTGTGCATATATACAGGAGCCCAAAGTCGGAGTGAGTGTCTTCCTTGATTGCTCTTACTTTGTTTATTGAGACAGAGGTCCTTGCTTGACTTGGAGCTCACCAATTCCTGCTAGTCTGGCCAGCTCGCCCAGGGATCCTCTTCTCAACTTTCTGCACGCTGGAATTAGAGGGGACCAGTCCATCTGCCTGACTTTTATACAGGTTCTGGGACCTGAACTCTGGCCCTCACTCTTATACCGTAAGTGCTTTATCCATGGGGCCATCTCCCCAGTTCCCACCTTCTATGTGAGACTCTCTCACTGGCCTGGAGCTCACCAATTAACTAGGTTGGTTACCCAGTGAGCCCTAGGAACCCACCTGTCTCTGGCTCCCCAGTGCTAGAATTACAAGCATGGATCACCATATTTAGCTTAAAAAATTATTATTCTTTTTAAGTGTAGATCAGCAGTTCTCAATCTGTGGGTCGCAACCCTTTGACAAACCTCTATGTCCAAAAATATTTATATTACAATTCATAACAGTAGCAAAATTCAGTTATGAAGTAGCAACAAAAATAATTTTATGGTTGAGGTCACCACAACATGAGGAACTGCATTAAAGGGTCACAGCATGAGGAAGGTTGAGAACCACTGATCTAGACGAATGTTTTGCCTGCATGTATGTGTGCCATGTGCATGTGTGGTGCCTGTGGAAACCAGAGCCCCTGAACCTGGAGTTATGGATGACTGCAAGTCACCATGTGGTGCTTGGAACTGAACGGGCTTGATGGTCTGTTAGTGTTAATTGGCAACTTGACAGAATCTAGAATCACCTGGGAGATGGGACTCTGGGCATGTCTGTGGAGGAATATCCTGACTACATTTATTGAGGTGGGAAGACCTGCCTACTGTGGGTGGTATCATTTCCTGGTTGCCATCCTGGACTGTAGGAATGGAAAAAGGGAAACTGAGCGGTCACATGGGTTGGTTGCTCTTTTCTTAGGACTGTGGACGTAATACGGTCAGCTGCTTCAAGCTCCTCACTGCCTTGACTTCCCTGCCATGATGGTCTATGCCTGAACTGTGAGCTAAAACAAACCTTTCCCTCCTTAAGTGGCTTTTCTCAGGACAGTTTATCACAGGAACAGGAAAAGAAGCTAAGACTCAGCCCCAGAGCAGCTAACTGTACCTGGGTACCCTTAGAGCCTTGCCCCAGAGCAGTAACTATACCTGGGTACCCTTAGAGCATTGCCCCAGAGCAGTAGCTGTACCTGGGTACCCTTAGAGTGTTGCCCTACAGTAGCCCAGCAGCTCTGGCCAGCTCTAGGCTGCACCCTCTTTGTTTCCGAGACCCCACCCTGTCTCTTGGCCAAGAAGACTCAAGAACTCTTGGCACAGAAGGATGCTCCCTGCTGCCCAGCGGAGATGACCACTTAATGGAGAGTGGAGAGGGGAAGGCGGAGGAGAGCGAAAAGAAAGGTCCTCTTTCAGGCTCAAGACGCTGTGGAGTAGCAGGCCAGCGGCCTGCCAGGAGCTGACTCACCGGCATGGGACAGGGCACTACAGGTGCACTCCGGCTAGCAGACAATAGACGCCTGTTGCAAACAGCCCCACACCCCAGACTGACCACCGGATTCAGGCAGAGACTGATCCCCCAGGGGAGCATTGGGGTTGGGGGGTGGAAGAAGAGGGCCTGAGCTGGAAGCTGTCATCCTTTTGCCTTTGCTGGGCCTGGCTCAGTGCACACTGTAGCCATGTGATTTCATGGCTGGGGAGACAGACACACAGAACCAGAGAACTGGGCAGCCTCTAATGTGACCCTTGTTCTCCATCATCTCA